GGCCACCCCCCGCCCCCACCACCCTCCAGGGAGTCTTTAGCTCCTTGTAGACACAGCTCACTCCTGGGAGGGTCACCCAGGGCCTCCTAGGCCCCGGGGGTACAGGCCCTTCCCGGGGGACCCGCGTGCCCCTGCGCTAGCCAGTCAGGGCGTCAGAACGCCGCCTGGCCCGGATCCGGTCCACTCTCCGCGGCCGTGTGAGCCGACGCCGGGGCCGATCCGTCGCTGCTCTGGCTTCCCGTGGACGCTGCGTCTGACCGGGGGCCCGGCCCCCTGCTCCCTCACTTCGGGGTCTTTCCCCGGATTCCTGATCTGCCCCGGGGTCCTGTCGCCCCCCAGCCCCCGGGGCTCCCTCTCGGGGCTGCGTGTGTCTGTGGGGGCTTTGGCGTTTCTCCATATTTCACTGCAGTCAGAGGTGGGGTGTTGTGGAAGTGGCGGGGCGCAGGGCCAGTGGTAAAGGGCAAGAGAACACCCCGCCGTGGGGAGCCCCACGCTTCCACGCACGGAGCGTCGCTGCCACAGAAGCCGACGGGTGAGCCAGCCCAGAAACGTGCCCGGGGCAGGAACGGAGCTTTGAGGATCGTCTGGGAAGACAGCATGATGGAGGCGCGTTGCTCATTGGCAAACTTGCAGCCGCAGAGGCCGGTGGTGCCTCCTGGAACCTGCCTGGGGCAGAGGGCAGGGGCAGAGCCGGGACACAGGGTTCCGGAGTGGGGAGGGAGCGGGAGCCCGGGGCAGGCTGGGCGCTGGGTATCGGGGAGAAGGGCGTCTGTGGGGCCGCCCGGCCCGCGGCTCGGTGGTTCCAGCAGAAGGGAGAGAGGGAGCAGCCTCCGGGGGATGGACGAGCGCAAGCCGAGAGCCTCTTGCCCGGCTGTGGCCAGTGACGCGGCCCGGGGCCGGGCGGGGGGACCCCGGGACGCCGGAGACCTGGGCCGGCCGCTCGCTCCGTGGGGGTGCACGGGGCCTCGGGCCTGTGTCTGAGGTTCCCTCGGGGGCGCAGGAGAGGTGACCGCGGTCTGTGCAGGGCGCGCCTGCTAACCGTGTTGTTGATTTCCCTCCTCAAGGACTTGTCGCTGCCGCCGTAGTAATCGGTACCCCATTTCTTGTCAAAATGTTCTGGGACTGTGGAAAATCAGGGTGAGCAGAAACCCCGGGGATGCCCACACACCGCTCTGTCCAGCCGAGCCCGAAACCTGGTCCTGGACGCCGCTGCTGCCCGCCCGCGGCCCTGTCCGGTGCGCTCGCTCCGCCCGCGTGACCGATGCCGGACCCGCGTCCGGCAGCCCTCAGCTGTGCTGTCCGGCGGCTGGGCCTTACCGCGGCCCGGACCTACCGGCTGGAGTCCGGCCAGTTAGAGCGGAAGGCCAGCGGCTCCGTCCCCCGGGGACCCGCGTCCCTCCCGGGTGCGGGCGGCCGTGCGATGTCAGACAGCGTCACCAGGAGCCACCGCGTCGCCGCACCCGGCACAGGGCGCCGTGGG